TATATATATATATATATATATATATATATATATATATATATATATATATATCATGTTTTTCTTTCCAACAAATTTCCCGACCTTCAGTGTTGCATGGTTGGATTTCTTAGCAATGTATGGAGAAAGTTCCTTGCTACTCCTATAACACAATTAACAAGGAAGAAGAATCCTAACATAAGAATGAAATAATTTATTTGAGGCGGGATGACCTTGAAATAGAAGTACTTTGGCTCGAACCTTTCCGCCAACACTTCTGGAAAACGAAATTCAATACAATCCCAGCATTTTATTTGGTATTTTACCAAAGACTTGTTTACTGGGCTTTCTTCACATATACATACCTTAATTTCCCATTTTTTTCTACATTATTTAAGAACTAGGGCAGAGAGTGAATCAGAAAATAGTATACCTAATCATGAGATGACACTCTTCTCGAAGTTGTGAGCAGGGACAGGATTTGGATTTAATCAAGAGTAGGAGTGTAGATGATTTCATTTTGTTCGGATTTTGGTTCGGTTTGATTTGGCTCTCGTTTCAATTCTTAAATTTTTTAAACTTGCACCATATCCTCAATTTAGTAGGAATATATACCTTAATAAAAAAAATCAAACATTCAATAAATTAAAATTATCAATCATCAAGATCAAAAAGTCCAAACTAAAAAACAAAATATAGTCATAATTTAAATACACAAATTAATTTTCATTCTCATACAAAAGATTGTCTAATAAGTATTAACAATGATTCGCTAAATTAATTATGGTATTTTTTTACAGCATATCCCTGCAATAATGAATGAATTATGCAAAACTTTTATAGATAATCTAATTGGTAATAGGATTCAACCTAAGTTTATCTTAAGGGAGATCATGTGTTCGAATCATGGGGAATACAACAGAAAACCATAAGGGGTAAGAGGCTAGATACACTCCCAAAGTAGACAGTACATAAGAGAACGATCGAGTACAATGTTTGGGTCGTTATTGTCTAATTGGTATCAAAATTTAACGTAATCTTCTTAAGGGGAGGTCAAGTATTCGATTTGAATCCCATTAAGAGAGATTTAAGATGAATTTTGACACTAATTGAGAGAGCCAAAAACCAAATGGTTCTCGAATCGAAGAACCAAATCAATAATATTTATTTGTGAAACCGAACCAAATCGTTTGGTTATGCTCAGTTTTGGTTTGATTTGGTCTTGACATTTTGTCCATCTGTAACTGAGAGGGCTAGTCTAATTTTTTTGTTATTTTCGATCTTATGAAGAAATTTTATTTTATTTAAAAGTAGAACACATATTAATTAGGGGATAAGTCTCACCCTTAAGTATGCATATAATTATTACGTTACATTAGCTTAAAAGACAAAAAGACAATACAACAAAAGATAAGGAAAAAATATGCAAACATTTACATTTAGTAGCGGTTCAAATTTTAGTGAGAAAAAACTGATTGAGTTTAACTAGAATTGAACCATCAAAAATCAAATCCAACTCAATTCAAGTGGTTTTTGTTTAGTTTTGATACCCAATAACTTTGGACAATGATTTAAAATAGCCGTCGAATAATTTATCGATATCATAAATTTTGCTCCACCCGAAAACAACCAATTCACTTAAAGTTTGGCCCATGAGTTTAGCCCAAGTAGTGGTTATTGAGTTAGGTTATTAGATTGGTGATTCAGTTAGTGTGTTAGCCTTTTGGATTGTGTGGTCCATTTCTTTGTAGGTAAGTGGCAACTACGGATGACAATTCGAATTCTCGAAACCAAAAATCGTGGTTAATCGAACAGAATAAGGCAAAAAAAGAGAATCGATGCCGCAATGGGATGAATACGGTATTTGATTTTAATGCCTCGGTTCGGGACGGGACGGGTATTGTATTTACGCGCATCACCCTGCCCCGAACTGATTACCCATTAAAAAAATTAATTAAATTTGGATTTTACATTTGGGAATTTGGATATTGTTTACATTTTCATTGGAAATATTGTTTGCTAAATTGACTTAGTATTGTGTTTTTGTTTTCATTGATTTTTTTCATAAATTATTTTTTTCCAATTTGATAGCTGGACCTATAAAAAATAATTTATTTTCGTGATTATTAACCACCCAAACAGAGCCGAACCGAACCAACTTACATGGTTATGGTGCAGTTATGATATAGCCAAAAAATTGGTAGTTAGGTGACGAATTTGGTCGAACCGATCCCGAATCGAACCATTACCAACTCTAATAGTAGCCCATTTATAGACAAGACTTTGGCCCAATCCATTTGAGTGACCTAATGTTTTGCTATATATGTTTTGTTCCCAACTGTGTCTTTCTTAATGTGAAGTGAAATGATAGAGAGGCAGTCTAAGGGTGGGAGAAGGATTCTACCATTGCTTTGTCCTCAATTTCTATATTGTAGTCACGTCCCCTTTGTGTCCTTTGTAGATTATAAGAGGATAACCTGAGTGTGGTTAGAGAGGCAAACTGAGTGGTAGTCAGGGGTAGTCGAATGTGCAAAGTTGTAGGTCGAGCCAAGATCATGTGGTGTTCATTTGATTGGTTTTTCTAAGCTCGAATCAGGATTTCTCGAAAATTTCCACAACAAATGATATCAGTGACTTTTGGCTGCCAAAATTGACTGAAACGTGGCCTAAACGAAGTTGGAAATTCGAGGAGAAACATCCAATGTGAAAATTAAGGCTGCGAGACTTGTTTTTGTTGGAGAAATAGACCATTAGCATGACATGCAGGCAAAGACAATCGAAGAACGGTAGCGCATGATCTTCGAAATCAGCACATGGCGTCAATGCATGTGTCCCGCGCATAGAACTGGTGATGGCCGGTGATTTCTTTGGGTGACATGGTAGACCCATGCAGTGGTGTCTATTTTCAGTTTTAAGCAATACGGTGAAAGTTCGATGATTTTTCCCTTTGACGTTAGGGTACCAAGTGTCATTTTATGTTGTCGCTGTTGCTAGAAGCTTTATGGCAAATGGTACAGCGAATTCACATCTCTCATCGTTTACGGAGCAATAGATATGGTCTGCTTGGTATCGATTCTTTCCTTTTGTTATTGTAGTTAAGACTATTGTATAGGATAGTTATTTATTTTTCGTACTAGAAGTCATCATGTGGGGGTAACATTATGATTGGGATCATTGTGAATGGGTAACCATTTCCTGTTGCTAGACCGAGTAATTATTTGCCTTGAATTCTTTATGAATTTGTCGTTAATTTGATTTTCACTATTAGAATTGCACGTGACCTTGTGAAAGTTTGTTTAACTATTTTCTATGAATTGTATATGTACTTTGCTTGTGGTTGTCGTAGGTTGTGTTTTGTGCATTTTTTGATAAATTGACAACACACTTCGAGGTGCTTTTTCAATGGAAAAATGAGATTTTTTGATTTGGCAAAACAAAAATCTTTTTATAAAACTCTTGATGAAAAATATAGGTCTAAGGCAAGTGCGAAAATTAAGAAATGTTTTTTTAACTACAATATTTTTTGGACATGTTAAAAGAGACTATACTATGAAATATAATCGGAGGAAAGGTAAAGAAAGAGAGGTGACGTGAATATTGCCACAGGGTCAAGATATGTGAGGTTTATTGAGATTAAACTTGGTTACTATGTGTACATCCGTGTTTAATTCTTTCTGTATGTATGTGATTGTTTAATTATGTTGCATGGTTATATGACATTTCAATATGTTTGATATGTGCATTTGTATAAATTTTGAGAGCAATCTAATTATTTTGTGTAATGTATTTGCATG